TTTTTTTTTTTTTTTATTTTAGTAGAGATGAGGTCTCACTATGTTGCCTAGGCCTGTCTTGAACTCCTGAGCTCAAGCAATCTTGTCACCTCAGCCTCCCAAAGTGCTGGAATTACAGGTGTGAGCCACCATGCCTGGCCTGTACCATATTTCTACCGTACCTTTTCTGTTTAGACACACAAATACTTACCATTGTATTAGAATTACCTACCGTATTGAGTATAGGAACATACATGTAGATTTGTAGCCAAGGAGCAATCGCCTTTATGATCCAACCTAGGTGTGTAGTAGGCTGCACCATCTAGGCTTCTGTAAGTACACTCTGTGATGTTCATGCAGCGAGGAAATTGCTTAACAACATATTTCTCAGAACGTATCCCTGTCATTAAACAACACATAACTGTATATATTTTCTGTAATGTTAGTGGAGGGTTGGAAGGAAGTAAAATGACAATGTCTATTCAATTTACCAGTGTAACCTGGAGGTCTATAAGTGCCGTTTAAATATGCATCATGTTTACCTTGAAAACTTCCTATTCTCCTGAGATAGCATACTATAGCCTGGAAGACAGAAAGGGCTTAATGAATAAATATCGATAATGATCATATCCAGAGGTGGTTGAAAAACAAGCCCTACCACCCAGCAGTGGCGGAGTAAAGTGCATACTGGACCGGAAGCCCAGACACCTTGATTATGGGAGCCCCAGTGACCTTAGACAAATGGTCTACCCTCTCTGGGTCTCTCAGTTTCCTCATCTGAAAGAAAAAGAGCTCAGGCGCAATTACTTCTGAGTCTCTTTCCAGTCCTAGGACGTTATATCATTTTCCCTGAATTCCAGGAGGGAAGAGCAAAATCCAATTCTCAAAGCAAGATCCATTCCCTGCTCACTTCTTATTCCCAGATTTAGCACATGAGGTGGCTACATGATAAATTCTTACTGAAACTAAATAAGTGATCTTTCCTTTGGTTGGTTTGTGTTAAATAAGGAGTAGCCGCCATACTTCTCAAAAGAAGTATTGGCCGGGCGCAGTGGCTCACGCCTGTAATCCCAGCACTTTGAGAGGCCGAGATGGGTTGATCACCTGAGGTCAGGAGGTCAAGACCAGCCTGACCAACATGGCAAAACCCCATCTCTATTAAAAATATAAAAATTAGGCCAGGCATGGTGGTGCATGCCTGTAATCCTAGCACTTTGGGAGGCCAAGGTGAGCGGATCACCTGAGGTTGGGAGTTTGAGACCAGCCTGACCAACAGAGAGAAACCTCATCTCTACTAAAAATACAAAATTAGCCGGGCGTGGTGGCACATGCCTGTAGTCCCAGCTACTCGGGAGCCTAAGGCAGGAGAATCACTTGAACCTGGGAGGCAGAGGTTGCAGTGAGTTGAGATCGTGCCACCGCACTCCAGCCTGGGTGACAGAGCAAGACTCCATCTCAAAAAACAAAAAAAAAGAAAAAAGTATTTTATCCTTCTTCCTCCTCAAAACTCTATTTTGTTTTCCAGTTGTTCCCATGACTTTGCCGACTAAAGTTCTAAGTGCCCACCGTAAATCACTGAATCTTGTCGATTCTCCTCAGCCACTCCTAGAAAAGGTAAAGTATATGGAATAGGTTTTTGAAAAAGTATGGTGTCCTGCAATGCAGGATTAGTCCCCCAACTCTTTCAAGTGGTTCAGCTCAAAAGAAAGAAACAGCCTATTGTTATCTGGGACCTTTAGGTTTAGAACCTCTGGGCTTGGATATGAACCCAATTCATTGTCTGGAATCTGACTTGCATCAATGTGTACATTAAATTTGATGCAAACCTTTACGTTTTGCCTGTAGGAAAAGCTACTGCCTTGCTGCCTTCTCATCAGAGTCTATGTAGTCACTAGAGGAAATCGCTCACTACCTAGCCCCGCCTAACTGTGTAGCCTGCCAAGGTGGGACTGCCTGTGGAACAGGGTATAGGACTCTTTGTTCCTAATGGCCTTTTTAAAATTTTTCTTAGACAGGGTCTTGCTCTGTCACCCAGGCTACAGTTCAGTGGTGTGGTCATAGCTCACTGCAGCCTCAACCTCCAGGCTCAGGCGATCCACCCACCTCAGCCTCCCAAATAGCTGGGAATGCCAGCGTGCACCACCATGCCCAGCTAATTTTTGTATTTTTCGTAGAGACAGGGTTTCACCATGTTGCCTAGACTGGTCTGGAATTCCTGGGCTCAAGCAATCCTCTTGCTTTAGCCTCCCAAAGTGCTGGGATTACAGGCGCGAACCTCTGTGCCCAGCCCCTAATGCTCTTTATGTAAGAAAAACGAGTAAAAGATTCTTTAGGATACTGCAGGAAAAAGATGGACATTAAAAAAATTAAAAATTAAGATTCCTCAGGAGAGTAAAATCTCAGGGTGTTCCATGGATTCCCACAGTTTATTTTATCCAGGACTCTTCACTGATTCTACCCCACACAAATAGACTCAGTGCCTGTTGGAGAAGATTTTACCCTGATTTCAATTTTAGGTTGCTTAAAACATACTTTTTGTGTTTGTTTTGCTTCCAAATAACTATACTATATAGGCAGCATGGTGCAGAAAGCAGGAACAGAGGAGCGACAGGTCACCTCCAACCCCTCCTTAGCTGTTGTGAGGGCTTTTCAGCTCCATCTAGAAAGCCAGCTTGACACCAGGCAGGTTAATAAGAAAAAGCATTACAAAGGTGATTTGTTTTCTGGGTACATGGGGATCATCACAAGAGCACGAGGTCTGAAGAAGTGGTCCAAGCAAGATGGTTTCATACTTTTTAAACAAAGTGATAAATTTGAGAAGCTAGACAGGACAAGAAAAATCTGGCTAGAGGCAGTTACTAGGAGATCCATGGGGGCGTGTAGAACAAGCAGAAGATAAGGGTTCTTTGGGTAAGTGTGTTTATACAGGTCCATTGCCACCCACCCCCAGTTCCCAGGCTCTAGTGATATGGGCTATTTTCGCGCCCTGGGAGTGCCCCCCTCCCAGAGGCATCTTTATGGCTTACTGCCTGCAAAAAGAGACAGGTCAGCTACCCCTTTCTGAAACTACAATTTTTCCAATGTTTTCAACTCAAAATAGTCAATATACCAACCTGGCATATTTGGGGATAGCATATCCTTCACACTTTCAGCTCAGTGAATGATCACCAAACCAGTATACCTAGATCAGTGACCACCTTCTGTGACCCCCCTCCCATCTCTTTCTCCTTTTCTAGTCCAGAGATGACTGCCGTCATGATTCCTAACACCGGAGATTAGTTTTGCTTGTCTGTGAACCTTCCATAAATAAAGCTCACATATATTTTAACCAGTTCAGTCCAGTCTCTTGCAGATGTTGACCAGCACAGTGATCCACTGATCAAAAATCATAAAAGCCTATAAATAAAAAGGTACAAAAAAGTCATTGAAAACTGGAGCACAGCACAGCGATAGAGTTCCGAGACCAGATTGGCGTTTCACTTCTTGATCTTCCAAAAGTTCCATGCCTAGCCCATCTCCCTGCTTTTTGGCTCTTGTATGAGCAGGTTCCTGAAAGTGACTTCCAGTGGCCCAGAGATGACCATGGTGACGTGGACTGTGAGAAGCTGGTTGAGCAGCTGAAAGATTGTGCGAACCTACAGGACCAAGCAGACATTCTGTACATTCTTTATGTCATCAAGTAAGTGTCTTAGTCCATTCTGGCAGTTAAAACAAAATCACATGAACAGGGTGGCTTATAAACAACAGAAATGTATTTCTTACAGTTCCAGAGGCTGGGAAGTTCAAACTCAAGGCCGAATTGATGTCTGGGAGGGCCTGCTTTCTCATAGATGGCATCTTCTCATTGCATCCTCACATAGGTGGAAGGGGCGAGTGATCTCTCGGGAGTTGTTTATATAAGGGCACATCTCATTCGGGAGGGCTCTGCCCCATGACCTGATGACCTCCCAAAGGCCCTGCCTCCTAATGTCATCATTGTGGGGGTTAAGATTTCAACATAGGAATTGGGTGGAAGCAAACACTCAAGCCATAGCAGTAAGCTGATGGTCTTTACCGGGTTGAGCTTTCCCTGTTTTCTTTAATTCTTTCCCTAGTATTCTTGGCCTTCTAGCCAGTCCCGGTCATGATTGTATTCACTCCAGTTACCCAGGATCACCAGGAATGAGACTTCTATCCCCTTCTCTGCCTACTGATGCTGGTCCCCCAGGATGAGAAGGCCACGTGAGGCCAGGAGGCCACAATCTCCTCATGTCAGGCTTCTTTTTCAAAGGACATAGAGAAGCTTTGGTCGGACATAACCCTCTCAGTGAGACTCGGACACTGGGAGAGCCCAAGCACTTTGCACAATGCACAGTGATCTGTTCCTCTCCCAGTCTTTAAACATTCTGGACCATATTTCTGAGTTTTTCTACCTCTTGGCAGGGGTCCCAGCTGGGACACAAATCTCTCTGGACAGCACGGGGTCACCGTTCAAAACCTCCTCAGCGAGCTCTATGGGAAAGCTGGCTTGAACCAGGAGTGGGGTCTGATTCGCTACATCTCAGGCCTGCTCAGGAAGAAAGTGGAGGTCCTGTCCGAGGTCAGTGCGACTGTGCGCCGGCCCGTGTGTGCTCATTAGCTCACGCCCCCTTCCTCTTCCACTTCCAGTCTTCCAGTTATACCTCTTACTTGTGAAGGAGCCCCATTCTTTCTTTCTTTGTTTTTTTTTTTCTGAGATGGAGTCTCGCTCTGTGCCCAGGCTGGAGTGCAATGGTGTGATCTTGGTTCACTGCAACCTCTGCCTCCCGGATTCAAGCAATTCTCTTGCCTCAGCCTCCCAAGTAGCTGGGACTACAGGCATGTGCCACCACACCCAGCTAATTTTTTATATTTTTAGTAGAGACAGGGTTTCACCGTGTTAGCCAGGATGGTCTCAATCTCCTGACCTCGTGATCCACCCACCTCAGCCTCCCAAAGTGCTGGGATTACAGGCATAAGCCACCGCACCCGGCCTGGAGCCCCATTGTTTAACCTACAGGTAGAGCAGGCCCTTCTCTCCTGCCTGCTCACTGCTCCAGGAAGGTGAGCAGAGAGAAGGAAATGCAAGTGGATTTGTTTTGTTCTTTCTTAGCTGTAGAAAAAGGCTTGCCAGGAAATCAAATGAGAGTGCTCTGTGGCCTGGCAGCCTCTTAGAGCTCTCTTTTTTCACACATCCACAGTACAGTGATCATTAATATTTATAACACCAAAGCCAGGCAAAATCCAGAAAGACGCTCAAGTTCAGTCATGATGGTAAGATGATGGCATTTATTAGATGTGAATAATGGGGAAACGGGTAATTTCAGAATTTAATATGGTTATTAACTCTTACCATCAGTATCTTAGGACTCATCCCTCTCTCACTGAATAGCAGGGAGTCCAGTGTGTTTGCTACAGTGGATGGGCATTCATCGCCCACTGACGGGCCCCGCAGAGCCAGGCCTGGGCCACACATTGGAGACAGAGCCCACAGACACCCAGCCCTGCCTGGGTTGCTTAGTCTGGGGTCTAGGTATGCATTTTTCAAATCAAGGACAGCATGGGTCATAAAGTTTGTAAAGGTAAATGTACAATCTGATTGGCAGTACCTCGCCCCCCCCATCATCTTTGCCAGTCTCTCTTGTGCCCTGTTTCTCACTCTGTCTCCTAACTGCACAGGCCTGCACGGACCTGCTATCACACCAGAAGCAGCTCACCGTGGGCCTGCCACCCGAGCCCCGGGAGAAGATCATCTCTGCGTAAGTCCTCAGCCCTGGGGACCTCAGGTTTTTTCGGGGAGCCGCGGGGAAAACATCAGTGCTTCCCAGTGTTCAGAGGAGGGGCTTTTTAAAGACACTCTGTCATGGCTGGGCACGGTGGCTCACACCTGTAATCTCAGCACTTTGTGAGGCCGAGGTGGGCAGATCACAAGGTCAGGAGTTCAAGACCAGCCTGGTCAACATGGTGAAACTCCATCTGTACTAAAAATACAAAAATTATTTGAGTGTGGTGGCAGGCACCTGTAATTCCAGCTACTCGGGAAGCTGGAATCACTTCAAGGAGAATCACTTGAACCTGGGAGGTAGGGGTTGCAGTGAGCTGAGATTGTGGCACTGCACTCCAGTCTCGGCAACAGAGCGAAACTGTCTCCAAAAAAAAAAAGACACTCTGTCACATGGGTGCATCTAGCACAGAAAATAAGGGTGTTCCATGGAGGGCGAAGAGGCACTGCCTCAAGACACCTCATCGTGTTTATGGGACAATGCTCCTTCCTAGGCCCCTTCCGCCGGAGGAGCTCACAAAACTCATCTACGAGGCCAGCGGGCAGGACATCAGCATCGCCGTCCTCACACAGGTCAGGGGCTGGTATGGGAGGGGCTGAGCCACAGCCTTCCTGAGAGTGGAAGGGACCCCTCAGCCACCCACTGGTCTCTGAAACCCGATCTCCATGTGTGTCTGCGTCAGGAGATTGTGGTTTACCTGGCCATGTATGTGAGAGCACAGCCCAGCCTCTTTGTGGAGATGCTGAGACTCCGGATTGGACTGATCATTCAGGTGATGGCCACAGAGCTGGCGCGGAGCCTGAACTGCTCAGGTGAGAGGCCCGCAGCTCATGCAGCTCCCGCCGTACCTCACCCTGGCCACCCAGCCATTGCCTCCATGCTCAGGGGAAGCCCTGCTTAGGTTATCTTGAACCTAGCATCCAAGCCTGTGGGCAAGCTCAGGCCTGACCAGGCTCTCTCATTTAGATGGAACTCCCATCCACGTGACATGGAGCTGAAGTTCCTAAGTCAGGGAGAATGGGGCCCTAGTGACATTTACCATTAGAGCCTCAAAGGCGATGCAGAATCTTTTGCCCTGTAACTGACATCTAAGCTCCTTCCTGGATGCCCTTGCTGGGAGATGTCACCCCCGTTTCATAACACCTTCACTAGGAGAAACCCTACCAATTTGAATATAAAAATCCATCATGAGGCATCCCATGTGGGGGATCATACATTCTTAGACACAAAATCTACAAATAGCGAGGTTCTCCTGAGAGGGGGACCTGCCACAGCATCCGGTGTCACTTCCCTCCCCACCCAGGTCCACCTGACCCTACCTTCACCCGCCACCAGCCCTGTGTCTGGGACACTTACAAGACATTTGTTTTTAGGAGAAGAGGCTTCTGAAAGTTTAATGAACCTCAGCCCTTTCGATATGAAAAATCTCCTACACCATATTCTAAGTGGGAAAGAGTTTGGTGTTGAAAGAAGCGGTAAGTCCCATGCTCCTATTACCTCTTCAGGGAGCTGCCCCTTTACATGCCACAGACATCACAACTAGCACTGGGGGACATAGGGAATGCGGGAAGGAAAGGCTCCTACCTGAAGGAGAGGGACAGAGTCCTCGGCTCCAGCTTCCTGCTTTGGGGGCTTTGGGACTCACTGTAGTGTGCTGGACGAGCTTTTCTTCCCCAGGTTGGCATGACATGTGGGTGTGGTATGCTGCCTCCTGTAGCCATAAGCACCTGGTACCATCACTTGTGTAAAAAAGTGTGGGGGACCCCGAGTGCCAGGATGAAAGGGCTATCCTTTCAAACCACCTGAGTGTCCTGGCCTTTGGTTTGGGTGAAAACATTCTCAACCTGGCCTCACATCACCCTCCACAGGGCAAGGAGGGGACCCCTCTGTGACCTCACAGCATGCTCAAGCTAACGTAGTTTGCTTTGTCCTGCCTCACTCACTGTGTTTGTATCTGAACCAGAACCCTGCTTGCAGTGCTGGAAAACATAATCTCCCAAGTCCTAGCATGATTCTTGTTCTCAAATGTTCCCTAATTATAATTGAAGCAATTATCATTTCTACTCGTCATAAAAAAGCTAAATGATTTGCAGGCACGTTGGTGAATTTATTTCATTATGCCAAAGAAATGAGCTGTGGGCTATCCTTCCATTTATTTAATAAGAAGGACACTGGGTACTTTGTAGGTTTCCTGAGCATGTGCCGGCCACAAACAAAGACGGCATCGAGCAATCAGATGTGTTTTGGTGGTTTTTCTCCTTTCCCGAAGGAGGGGTGCTCAAAATGCTTCTGCAAAAGTAATTTCCAGTTCTTTCCAAGGCAGAGTCCTTGAAATGGTAATGTACAAGATAAATATTTAATGTGTTCTGCTCATCATTACAGTATTCATGGCTTGACACAGATAATTACTAAAAATTTGTCATTAGATGTACAGCTATAGATGCTATGAAACTAGGAACTGAGTCATGTCATTTGAAAGCCATAAATATGTCTGATTGCAAGCAAGAACAGAAGACATGCTGTCTTTTTAACATATAACATCGTTTGTTAGCTGTCTTTTGTAATCGTTCGATTTTTGTAAATTAGGAAGCCCAAATAGGCTTAGAATGTTGATTAAATCCTGAAATGACAAAGATTAATGTTTCCAGCAAACACCCACCCTGGACAGGCCCTCTTGTAGCTTCCAGACCCTTCTTGTTCTGTTTTCCTGGATCCTTCCTTCCTCTCCAGCTCATCACTGAGCCGCCTCTGTGGGCTTCTGCCTCTCTGCTGTTTTCTAAATTTCGGTGTCCCCAGGTTCCTTATTTGTCACTACTCCCCATGGACAGTGCCCTCTACTCCCAGTGGGGTCCAGTAGGGTCAGGTGGGATGGTGAGGCTTGCAGGGGATGCTGCCCTAGGAGGTAACCTTTGAGCTGGGCCTGGCTTGCTGGTCCAGGCAGATACCCAGTGTGGTGCGGGTGGCCGGGAGTGTCGGAGGAGGTCGGACTCCAGTGGTAGAGTTTCAGGTGATGCTGGGAGGACTGTTTGGTCTTTGTCCTGAAGACAGCTAGACCTAGGAGGCTTTGGAGTGAGCAGTAATCCGATCACAATTGCCTTTTAGAATGATTGCTGTAACCACAGCACAGAGGCCAGGCTGGTGGGCAGCGGGGCTGGGGACGAGTTTGAGTCCCGAGGCTGGTGCAATAGGTCAGAAGTGAGAGGTGGTAGCCTGGTGCTGTGCGTCGGTGGCCTCCGGTTGCCTCCATCTCTAGCCCCTGGCAGCTTGGCTTTCCAAGCACTTCCCCCTCCAGGCTGAGGCTCTCCTCTGGCTGCCACCATCATTTCATTTGGCGCCTCGCCCTCAGGCCTGGGCCTGGGCTCTCCTCCAGGCACCACTGCGGCACAGGATTCTCCTGCAGTCACACCTGCACCTGGTGCCCAGACAGGGCCTGGCACCAGGAGGCCCTTCTGGATCACCCAGCCCACGGCCACAGCTGCCCAGGGTGCCAGCCCCTCAGGGGCCCACAGAAGTTTTGTCATTTCCTGGGGGCATTCTGAGAGTCACACAGGACTGGAACAGAGCCCAGCAAGGCCCATGTGGGTCCTACGTGTTCGTCATGACGAACTCTTTAGAAAAATATTAATACAAACAGGATTGGGTATACTGTTGAGCAGTCATCACTTACCAGATCAAACTCCATGCGGTCATGAAACATGATGTGACAGAATATTAACTCGAGGGAGAGAGATTCTGATGTAAGTGCAAGAAGGCAGGTCACTGAACCATACCTATGTCCACAGAATGTATGTATCCATCTCATATGTTTCTGTATCTATACATATGTATGTGATGATTCTGTTTTGTTAAAAACATACCGTCCTAGGGAAAAAAAACTGGAAAGATAATGACTAAAATATCAAGCGATGTTAATTCCAGCTTCTGTAGTTCATTGGTCTCAGTTTTCTACAAGGAAGGTGTGCATTGGCATTTTTTTAAATTTATGCATTTATTTGTAATAAATATAGACACGAGGTCTCACCATGTTGCCCAGGCTGGTCGTGAACTCCTGGGCTCAAGCAATCTTCCCACCTCAGCCTCCCAAAGTGCTGAGATTACAGGCGTGAGCCACTATGCCTGGCTTCGGGTATGTTCTTTTAGAATAATTTTTTACTTATCCAAAAGCAAGGCTGGGGACAGGGGTTCATGCCTGTAATCCCAGCACTTTGGGAGGTTGAGGGAGGCAGATCGCTTGAGCCGAAGAGCTCAAGACTAGCCTGGGTGACATGACAAAACCCCGTCTTCACAAAACATACAAAAATGAGCCAGGTGTGGTGGTGCATGCCGGTGGCCCTAGCTACTCGGGAGGCTGAAGCGGAAGGATCACTTCAGCCTAGGAGAAGATTGCAGTGAGCCAAGATCGCGTGCTCCAGCCTAGGGAACAGAGCAAGACCCTGTCTCAAAAAATTTTTAAAAAACGGATCGCAGGGCCGGGCGCGGTGGCTCAAGCCTGTAATCCCAGCACTTTGGGAGGCCGAGGCGGGTGGATCACGAGGTCAAGAGATCGAGACCATCCTGGTCAACACGGTAAAACCCCGTCTCTACTAAAAATACAAAAAATTAGCTGGGCATGGTGGCGCGTGCCTGTAATCCCAGCTACTCAGGAGGCTGAGGCAGGAGAATTGCCTGAACCCAGGAGGCGGAGGTTGC